GATGTGATTCGTGTCGGACCCTGCTATAACACTGGCTTCTTTCATCGCTCTGCTCCTCCCTCCTTGGGCATGGTTAGAAGCAGCGTATCCTTGCAGGCTGCTTTGTTACAAGTAGCTGGGATATTTCATATATGCCTGGCATGTGCCTGTGCATGGGTCTCTGTAGAAGTGGCTACAGCCCTGTCCATCTTTGTACCAGTGCAGTAATCCTGTTGGAGAGCAGGATTCTGGGTTCCCCTGGCATGGCTCGGGGGGTGTTGGTGTCCCCAAAGCATCTAGGCTTCCCCACAGGCTCTGGTCAGGGCTGATGTGGACTAGGCTGTGAGCAGATGCCTTGTGGTTGACGGCAGTGCTGCTGTAACAGGCCTGGCTGGGTGATGGCTTCTGATCTCTGCCGATTCATTAAAGCCTCGGTCACTTCTGTGGTCGTGCTCTTGGCGAACGCGTGGCGCCCGTGGGCTCTCGGCAATTTCACTAGCTCCTGGTATGTATGACTGAACTGAGGTGGCTGTTTCTGGGGAACAGCCTCTTCAACCTGCGTTAAGACTGGACATGGCTTTTGCTCTTTCTCCGGGTTATTGGTGAATCTCTGGGAGAAAGGAAGCCTAGAGCATAGCTGGCTCTTTGGGGCTTGAGTCGCTGGGGTTGTGGGCACTACAGCCATCAGCTGAGCCCTGCTGCTGCCTCAGGTCAGGGCAGTGCTGTAGAAAACCTGGCCTGCCAGTGCCTTGACACAGCTTGGCAGACCTCTGAACCTGTTAATCTTTCTCACGTTGCTGATGAGAGAGCTTGTTTCAAGCAATGCTCATGTCCGGATCACATGAGTAAACTGACTTTGTGCTAAATGGAAGTTGTCATAGAGCTGTGGTGTGGTAGATAAATAGGACTGTGATTGATGGCCTGGCAGGATTACAGCAGCTGGGGAGAAGAGCCATTAGCATAAGTCATCTACGTAGTGTTTATAGCTTAAACTGTCATGCCAGCTCAAGCTGACAGGCAAGAAACCTTCAGGATGACTGCTGCATGGACAAAGCGTGCGTGTGAAGTGTGGCGAAGCTTAACATGCACGCAAGTGTATGGGAGCGCGGCCTCTGTAGGAGAGTGGATAAAGCACCCTGGCTTTACTTTGGCTTCCTGTGGTCTGCCGCTGACCTGAAAGCAGACCTCAGCTGCCCTGCGCTAACTGCTAAAGCTGCTACAGACTGAGTCACTCTCATCTGCTCCCTCTAGGCTGAGGCAGAAGTGGCATCTTTGAATCGCCGTATCCAGCTGGTAGAGGAGGAGCTAGACCGAGCCCAGGAACGCCTTGCCACAGCTCTGCAGAAGCTGGAAGAGGCAGAGAAGGCTGCAGATGAAAGTGAAAGGTGAGCAAGGGCTGCTGTTCTCACTCTGTCAAACATTTCAGATATGTTCCTGAGGGCCTGGTGCCATCAAACTCTTGGGTTTCCTGGAGGGTTGGAAGTAGGTACCACATCAAGGCTGGATGTGGGAGTCAGTACCCGCTTACGCGGAGCAACTAAAACAACACTGTTGGCCGTGAGCGAGTATCTTGGAACCTGAGGCTAAGGAGTGAGTAAGTGCTGTGTGTTACCATGCATCCCTGCCTCTAAGGGAGGAGAAATAAGTGGGTTTTGGGACACCGCTGACTTGTAAAGGTGGCTGCTGGTGGGGAAGCCTCTCTTCGTGCTGCCTCTGCTGGCATCCTCCCTTCCGGCGGACATCCCCTGACCTGGCAATGTGATTCAGAGGGGAGTGCTCCACTTCCAGCTGGATGTGCTTGTTGCTGCACACGCTGTAGTGAGCAGCCTGACCCAGCTGATGTCCTGCCATAAAGACGGACTTGGCTCTTCCTGTATTCCAGCTCAGAAAGCGCTTGGCTCAGCCATGTGGAATCCCTAAGACAGCCTGGCTGCTTCTTCTCGGCAGCACCATGTTTCTCTTGGTCCAGGAGCCCAATGAGCTGCTGGAGTAATGCTCCAAGGAACCGTTAATTCTGAGCAATCGAGGCTGCTGTATTTGCATCAGCCCAGCAGTGTCTGCCTTTCTGTACTACCCTCTGCACTTGGAGGTGTTGTGGCTCATAAGGAAGTAACGTGGTCCCAGGGGAGCGCTGTTAATGCTCTGAAACTCATTACGCTGCTGGCTTGTACAGGATTGTTTTACACGTCTCCCCTCCCTGTGCTCTCTTCTCTGGGCAGAGGCATGAAAGTCATTGAAAACAGAGCTCTGAAGGATGAGGAGAAGATGGAACTGCAGGAGATCCAGCTCAAGGAAGCCAAGCACATTGCAGAGGAGGCGGACAGGAAGTATGAGGAGGTGAGACCCTTGGATGCTCGAGTACAGCTGACCCTGGCCAGGAGAGGCGGCTCCTC